CAACGGAAGGTTTCCAGATGGATATGCGGAGCAAATCCATCTGGCGGAGTCAGGTTACGATTCCATAACACTTGAAGTCTAAAAAAAAATAGTTTTCATATCTGTTTGTATATCTTTGAAAAGTCCCAAAATATGTGAGCAAAGTCTCCCACCTTACCACAATTTGTGCTGCAAAACAAGAGATGTAATGATTGGAGTGCAATGTAACGGATCTTGACTTTCCAATCAAACTATTAATCAAACTACCTATTACAGTAGTTAATTTATGTCCTGAGCTAAATGTTTCTTCCCATGCTTCACCTGTCATCATTATATTCGCCTATAACTGCCATTTCTCTTTAATCTCTATATTTTTTGTATTATATTTATATTTTTTCCTTGTAAACCTTTTGCTTCAGACAGTTTCTTCAGTCTTGTTCATGTAAAATGTGAAATTTTCTGCCAATCCTTATGAGTTTAGAAGATAATGCCTGAGGTGGACTTTTTAATAGAAGGCTGTTGTCTGTATATTTAATTTTCCTCTGAATCTTGGCCTGCTTTAACACACCTATTTTAACTGTAATTAGACCAGAAGGACTCCTGAGAATTTTGCTCAATCCAAATACATCAATTCAGAGCCCATAACTCCTCTTCCTTCACCTTTAATAGGCTAAACAGTTAGAACTCTATCATAGGTAGAAAAGGACTACAGTAGTGGTTCCAAATGAGGCCCCCACTGTTATCTCCTGGCTTCAAGAGAAAACACAATTTAGTTTCATCACAGGGTTATTATGATTAATAAGTTAGTTCCAGAAACATACAGTAATCCCTCCATTGTGAACTTTTCCCTCCTGTATTTTTATCATAATGCCACATTTGCTTCCAGCTGTATTTTTCCCCGCTTGTCTCTGAGTTTCTCGGACGGTACGTGAGGATACAAAGGGCAATTTTTGCCGATGGAAACAGCTGTTTTTCATGCCCCACCCTGCGGGGTCGGAGGTTAAGCACATAATCACCCTTTGCCTGATGTAAACCGAAGGCTGTGGCTGCGGTTCCAGACCAATTTAAAGAAAAAATCTAATAAAATTCATCACTGTAAACTTTTGTAATGTTTAACCCAAACTCATTAACACAGCAAGGTCCTCCGGTTTATTTATGCAAGGCGAAAAATCTCCGTCCATATTAATGTTTTACTTCATACATGCAGGCAGCAACATCAAAGCTATAAAAGTAAAAAAAAATACATAATGCATTTAAAAGATGTTCATGAAGCGAGCATTAAAACTGCATTTGTTAAATTAAAAATAATTACAGTGACGTGTGTCATAAGCTTTATATGAGTACATAAAACTAGGGTAATATAGGCAACTCATTATACGACAGCAGTAAACAAAGGGAGTTAAATCCATCAAGATAAATTAAGACATAAACGAGAGATAGACTAAGGATTTTATCTTTCCTGTCACACCTGTTCTCACAGATACAGCAATTTGGGTTTTAAATCTCTCAGTTAGCCTTGAAGTTTTCCTCTTTCTTCTTGCTTGTCCAATGCTGTTATACACATTTCAGTACATGGAGTAATCCTAAAAGTAGCACCACAACTTTTACTGGAGTAACAATACTTTATCATATTTTCAATTATGTAAGTATTTAGTGTTTTAGTTTTTTCCAAGTGTTTTTATTGTCATTACACTCTCACACATACAGTAGCCTTGTGAGACCATCCTGATCTCGCGAGCTTTCAAGATTTCACTCGCTAATCAGTCTGGAGACTCTC